TATATAATTGGAAATTACGACATCGCCCCATGGTCGAGAGATTTTCTACAGGGAAAAATGTACGAAGATCGCGTTTTTCAATATGTCTGAAAAATAGCAGTCTAACAAATATGGGTATGAAGCTAAAAAAAACATATGAGGGCTCATTTTGTAGCCTGAAGTATAACCAATCGAATGGTGTATTGACAATTCATATTTTATCATCCGAATATCTAAAAATTTCACCACTTTCAAAAACTATCCTATATAATTTTTCAATATTTCATTAATCTTCAACAAGCAAGAACTCGATTATTTTCCAAATGAACTACATCATATTTTCCCATCAAAAACTGCGTAATTTTATGAGAAACATTTCATCTCGATCACTGCTACGGATATTCCTAACAGTTTTTGTTCTGCAATTAAATTTTTAGGACAGCGCACCACAGTCGAGGCGTTTCGTCGGAGCAAAAATGTAAAATCAATAAACCATTCTAAGCGTAACGATCGATGAAACTTTCACTCGTCGCGCGCTTAGACCGTATTCTTCATTAAAATATGCTCATTTTGTCGAAATGGAAGATATGGTGAGCAATTTATATTTAACTAGATATCTTCGAATGTATAGTTGATTGTCACAAATGCAAATTAGGCGGTTTTTACAAGAAACATCTTACAGAAAAGTAAACAATGTACATTTATTGATGGTCTTCGTCATCGGATTTTTCAATATTCTTACAATGAGCGTTACATTTACATTCAGTACAACAAAATACATCCTCTGTTTTGCAAATGCACTACTGTGTTGAACATGTTTTTTCTGTACGCAGTAAATTCATACACCCAAATGGTCTACTGGTTAGCGCTGTCGACTTTCAGTCTGAAGGTCCAAGGTTCGAATCGCTGTGAACTTGAACTTTTTTTTGCAACTTTTTTGTTTTTTTACTTCATTCTGGTTTTCCTTTTTCATAAAATATTTGAAGTCAAATAGGTTAGTGCGTTTAGGATAATCAGTTTCATTTTATTCAATTTTGTTGAAGAACTCAACTTTTGAAATATATTATTAATCAATGTGTTTCTACACCCCATTCGGTTTTCCTCCCACAAAAATATTGCAATCAGGGATAGGTTAGTTCGTTAAGGATAAATAGTTTCTGAGTTTTGCCTAAGTACTTCGAAGATGAGACATTACGGTCGGCGTGGTTTGTGCTAGCGTACAGTATATTTAGTAAAATCGCAGCCAGGAAAGAAGTTGTTTTCTGTTGAATATACTGAGAAGGAATTGATGATTTCATCACATACCGAATGCGAATTCTCTATGTATTTCCTTATATCTAAATAAACAGGTGCGGAAAAGTATGACTTTCGGCATTTGTTAGGTAAACTACATTTTCGTCTAAACTCGACAATGCGAAGATCAATTATTGTTTTATTGATTGTTCTATCTCAGATTCACAGAGGCTGTTCAAAAAACTGCTTAGGAACTGGTGATGGGTTCAGTTTTGACGAGTGGATATGGTCAGTATCATGGAAAATTAGTCTTCAAGTTCTGAATGGTTGGAGATGACATTTCGAGAATTACACAGATTAATATTAGCTTTGAGTATTTACACTCAGTTTTCATTCGTAGGTTACCCGATTTCATTTTCGAATTTTGTCCGCCCTATATCCTATTTTTATCTGCCCAGACAGCACTGGATATTCATAGAATATTCTCTAAATATGCTAAAAAGGAGGAGTATATTCCGAATATTCATCGATTATTCCTAGAATATATACATGCCTCTGGAACATCTAAAAGGAATATTCCAAAGTGAATAGTCGGACATGTTCAGGGAATATTCAGGTATGAATATTCCAGGAATATTCCTAACTGAATATTCTCTGTTGTATATTCATGAAATAAACCCAACTGAATAATTTGTGAGGCATATTCATGAAATATTCTAAACTGAATATTCTGTGGTGTATATTTATGAAATATTCCATGAATATTCCTATGTTTCTCAACACATAAATACCAATTATTATTTCAGAGATGTGAGTATCGAACATCGATTATTAGATATAAGGCGATTTTAAAACAAAAAGTGTTTATGATCCGATTTCGAGCAATGCTCTCACAAGAACTTGATATGTATAACATTATTCAATTCGATTACCGGCCTAGTGGTCAAGGCGTTGCTCTTGTATGCTCTTATAGTCTTGAGGTCACGAGTTCGATCCCTACTTGGGTCACTTTTTTTATTTTAGAATATGGTTATCGGAATATTCCAGGAACATTCAACATAAAATATTCTCTTGGGTATATTCTATGATTATCTGCGGAATTCCCATTCGCATATTTAGAGAATATTCCACAGACATTCCGGAATATTCCAGATTATTTCTAGAATATTCCAATATTCCAAGAGGAATATGATAGGGAGATTCATGGAATATCTGGTGCTGTCTGGGTGGTGGCGCCTATGGTCCAAGGTCACCTGATATAGATCAGAATCAGAATCAGATAGACAAGAACGTTTATTTAATAGCTTCCATAGTGAGTTTTACAAGAACGTTTATTCAATGGCTTCCATATGTATGTATGTATGTATGTATGTATAAGCATTTTTTCATCAATCCCTATCTACAGCACCGCACTAATTATCCTTAATAAAGAATTCTCGAAACTAAATTCCGTAGCTGAACTTCGATTTCAATCTAGTTTCGTATCACCTTCTTCCTTTTTCTAGAAATATGGGTACAAAATACAAAATGAATGAATTTGGGTATGACATAGATTCATATAAAGAACATCCAATATCTTGTATCTATAATCAAACTTTGAAAACTCCAAAGTTTGTTGTAAAAAAAAAATTGTAAAATTTGTTTATCTGTCATTCGGTTGCCCCCTTACGAGCAACCCTCAGAAGTCTTCGAAAGTCTTGTGCGAGCAAGGAATGACGGGGGCCTTACCTTTTAACGTGATGTGATCCAAAACACTTGTAACATGCCAAACACCTATTTCTCGAACCCTTCTCCCAACTGACTTCAAGGAATTGTAGTTTTTAAGAAAATACTTCAAATAAACACTTTCTTCTCCATATAGCAAAGAAGTTAGGTGACGTTCATATATTTCATATTGAAATGTGGTCATTCATCACTTCATATCATATGAACGATCTTGTTCTCGAGTGTACAAGAGCAATAGGAACATAAAAGCAGGTCGAACTGAAAGTATACGTAGAAACCCCACATGACGTGAGAGCAGGCAACACTGTGACCGGCGTTCGCTCTGCGCGTGGCTGGTAGGCCTCTCTGCAGTCTGTCATTTTACGGTTCTGCTGCATTACATTCTGATGAATTCCGATTCTGCCAATGTACGGTTTTGATTTTTTACGGTTCTGTTGACGTACAGTTCCTATATTTCACGATTCTGTCGATGTACGGTTCTGAATTTTTACGATTCTGTTATTTTACGGATCTAACATTTTACTATTCTGCTGAATTACGGTTCTGATAGTTTACGATTCTATCACAATACAGTATATGACATTACAGTCTGATGAAGTACATTCTGTCATTGTACGTTCTGATATAATATGATTCTGATGGAATACGGTCTGTTGTATTACGAGTCTGTCGATGTACGGTTCTAGCATTTTACGAATCTTTCAATTTACAGTTCTGATATTTTGAGATTCTGTGAATATGCTGTTCTGATTTTTTGCTATTCTGTCAATGTACGGTTCTGACATTTTACTATTCTGTCGATAAACGGTCTGTTGTATTTCGATTCTGACAAAGTACGGTCTGCTAATGTGCGGTCTGTCATTCTGCGATTCTGACGAATTACGGTCTGTGTTGTTATGATTCTGACGAAATATCATTCCGCTGTGATGTTGGTTTGTTAGTTTTCGATTCTGAATATATGCGGATCTGCGATATTGCTATTATAGAAAAATACACATCTGCGCATTTGCAATCTGTTATTGTCTGGTATGCTCATGTACAGTATACAAAATACGGTTTGAGGGATTGCGGTTCTGTGCATCTACAGTAGAGATAAATACGATTCCTATAAAATATTGTTCTGTTAAGTTACTGGTTTGAAAATGTATATTCTGATGGATTACGGATCTGCGATTTTACATTCTGGTGATTTGTGTGTTCCCCTGTTGCTTCAGGATATCAATAAGTCAAATGAAGTAATATTCTTGAATTTTGCAGAACTCATAAAGTCAAATTTTTTGTATTTTCACTATATTAGTTTGTGAAACAATATATATGGCTAAAAGTTCAGCTGTTTCATCATTGAAATCATCCTAATCAACTGAAAATTACATACAAAATTAGTTGAACTGAAATACTGAATCTGGTGAAAGCAATGTAAATTAAGGAAATGCTTAACCCTCTCTTTCTCCAGATTCAAATAATTTTTGGACATAAACTAAAAATGGTATTGACGGATGGAATCAATAAACTTTTTCGTTTGGAAGATATATTGATGGCTCATTCTCAAGATTTTGTCTTTGTAGGTATATTTCATTTCAGAATGTCAAACCGGATACTTTGTGAACGGGTATTTTATGAACGGATATTTTTTCTCAGGATATTTTGTCTCAGTCCCAGTCAGTTTTTTTGTTCATGAGATATTGTGTCGGAGATATTTTGTCGAGGGATATTTTGAGGTGGGATATAATTAGAGTGTCTTGATGTAATGCTAATGGGTAATAGAACTTAAATAACGAGAAGCACTGGCAGTATAGCAATGACTTTGCAATTTTGCCAGATGTTCATTATAGTTGAAAAAATGTGGTATGTTGACACCATGAATTTTGGAGAATCTAAATATTCATTCTTGCCATTTATTGTGTGATTAGGATTTATGAAATAACATAAGAACAATCCATTTATTTACCCGGAGTGGGAAGTGATATAAAGGCACATACCCATACATGCACCTCACTAGTGCAATACATAAACATTCCAATTAGCTTCTGTACCATAATTCATTCCATATACCGTCAATGCAGGACAGGCTGATGAATCTGGCATATTTCTACCGTTGTGCAGAAGCGCTATGATGAGACAGCTTATATGGACAAGGACAACTCTTTGACAAGTATCCAGCTCCCAATGCTTGGAAATAATTATTAATATTTTTGTTTGTTTTTCTGTTGCACATTTTCATTGTTGGCTGTTTTGAATTTGTATCAATATATAGGTACCTTTAAATAATTATTGTATATATTGAGTTGGAATTTGGAAATTATATATATTTTTTTATATGTTCAATATATATGTACTAAATGTTTGAATAAATAAATAACATACTATTGTAGTAATGTTAGTGTTGCTGTGTTGACATCATAAATGGGGAATTATAAAGATTTTCTCTTCTGTTTGGCTATTTAATTTTCCGAAGTCAACTACGAAGCGTTTTCACCATTTCTTTTTGGAACTAACAGCACTGGTGAACTATATAAAATGTGGAATTCGTTGAACGTACTGTTCCACATTCTTGCCAATCTTATTGTAAAATGTCATTTATAACTTTCTCATTTTCAGAATTAGTTCTGTATGGTTTTGCCCGGACTGGTACATCATTATCTTTAGTTTCGACTTCCATCAAAAACATCTCTGAACTCATTCACCAAATTCAATAGGACATACTTAGTCGACTGGTCCACAGTTTCATCAATATTGAGCATTGCGAGGGTAATTAGAATTTTTGTGATCACTTTTATTTTCATCATTTCTATGTACTAGAATTTCTTGTTCAGAAATATTTCTGCTAGGCAATATTTAATCTTCAGCTCCAATTTGTAGGTACTTGTGGAAAATTTATCTGATTTTCTTGTAAAACAGTATCTACTGTAACAAAAACTGGAGTTTTAATAGGTTTGTTATTTTCTACAGTGTCCATATAAAATTCCAACAAATTGGGCATCATCTGGTACCACATGAGCCTCAATTTCTGCATATACCTACATAATCTACCTTCATGTTGATTATTGTGGTCCTCACCGAGACTATTGAAGTGTCTTTTCCAAATCTATACAACTGTTTATGGTGTGGTTTCCACTGTAGTTCATTCCATGACAACGCACTACCAGGATCAATGAAACTTTTGATAGGAATAGTATTGGTCACAATAGTATGTCTCATGAATTTGTTTACTGAGTGTCCACTTCTTTATGGTTATTTATTACTAATTGTCTTTTTTGAGTTGGTACACTGTTGGATGAACTTGAAGGACGGTTACGTTCTATATAGTATTTGTAGAATTATTTTGATTTCTACCATACTTGCATACATGTCCACATTTTCTACATACGATCTCTGCTTGGTGAATAGTAATTTTTTTTCTGTGACGGGGAAAAATTGGCATTTCATCTCTGTTGACAGGTTCGCATATTTACACTAGCCGTTGCCGTGAGCGGTCGATATTTCGTGTGTCTCTTTAAATATCTATCAAAATTCAGTTATATTTGTGAAAATGGTGAATACTCGTACGACTACATCGGAGTGTAACAGTCCAGCAACTGAAGAACTCAAAAAATTCTTTGCAGATGAGTTGAGAAAATACACTATACCACTACTTGAAGAGATATCGAACTTGAAAATAGAAATAAAAAATCTCAAAGAATCAAACATTGACATGATAAGACTACTGAGCAGCAAACCTCCTCAGAAGAACGAACAAGTGAATGTTATATGTGACTTAGATCAATCATTTATATCATGCTCATCGGCAGACACTGTAATTCCCAACTTAGAACGTGAACCAATCGAAGAAAAAGTCATAGATAAGGAAAATTGGACCGAAGTACAAACCAGAAAGAAGACTAATAAATATCAGACTACATCCAACATGAAATCTACAACACATCAGACGCAGTCGACTAGAAAGAATGAGAGGAACAAAATGAGGTATGTCGTGGGAACACAATCATCGCAAGATATTGACGATTTCAGTGGAGCCGAACCGATGCTTTGGCTATACGTAGGCCGTTGTAAGCCACAAACGACCACCGATAAGGTGAAATCTTATCTAGAAAAGCGGTCACCTGGATATGAGTTTGAAGTAACCGAATTAAATTCATAAGGAAGATATAAATCTTTCAAAATAGGAGCGGACATGACTCTTTTTGATACTCTATATGATCCAAAGCATTGGCCAACGAAAGTAATAATAAAGAGGTTTCAGTTTCGCAAGTCCTTTCGAAACCATCAATCGGAGGGGAATTTTTGATTCAGCCTCTAAAACCAAGAGTACTTCGAAAACAGGTTTGAAAATTATGCACGTGAATTCTCAGTGTATTCTGAACAAAACGAACCAAATTGAGGTGATTTTATTTGAAGAGAAGCCGGATATTTTATGTATATCAGAAACTTGGTGCAACATCACAAACATAGACACTGTACATTTTGATGGATATGAAGTTGCATCTCATTTCACGAGACAACACCATATTCATGGTGGCGTATTAATTTTAACACAAAGTAAAATAAAATACAAGAATGAAGACATTTTAGATAATATGTCTGTAGAATTAGACTACGAAACTTGTACAATTTATTTCTCTATGAATGGCGAAAAATACTGTCTGATTACCCTATATAGACCGCCAAATGGTAGTGTCGACAATTTCTTGGATCGACTTTTCCATGCTCTAGATTACTGTGATAGGAAATTCAAAAATATTATATTATGTGGCGACCTCAATATCAACTATTCATGTGAATCAAACGATAAAATATTACTGAAAGATTTGTTATATAGTTTCAACCTCAGCTTCAAAAACTTTGAACCAACCAGAATTTTCACTAACACAAGTGGTAGAACTAGTAGCTCTAAAATTGACTATTTTTTACCAATATTTGTCAGTCTCTATATCTAGAAAAAATACTAAATGTGAACCTCGCGGATCATTGATGCCTCTCTTTCGAACTCTCTGATCAAACTATAGATAAGAGAGATACCCGAAAGAAAATAAGCTTTATGAACACCTGCTCTGAGAATCTCGCGAGACTCCAAGATTGTTTGAAGAATGAAAGTTTTCATTCTATTTATGAGAGTGTTCCTAACATTCAATGTGCCTATGAAACATTTCTGAATATACTTATATATTGGATAAATTTAACGTGTCCTTCTGTGGAAAAAACCATTAATCACGATATTCAGTCCAGTAGAAAACAATGGGTCACAGAAGATATAGTTCTCATGGGGAATGACTTGATAAATCTTTTTTGGTTATCTAAAAATGTGAGAGATTTAGAAGTTACACAATATTACAATGATTCAAAAAATATATACAAGAAGAAGATACATGAGGCAAAGTATGCATTCAATCAGGGCTCACTTGAAAATAAAACTCAACAGGAGAAACAGAAAAAAATTTGGAATATATAGTTAATAATAAAACTGGAAGAAAAAGACGAAAAATAGATCGCGAATTATTACTGAATAATAAATTGGTCCACAACACAAATGAGATCGCCGATGCTTTCGGTTCGTACTTTTCGACTATAGCAAAAAATACAGTTGATTTACATTTTGAGTCGACATCTTTCAATGATTACACAACTATGCATGTAATCCATACCTTCTATTTTACCCCTGTACTTCCAAATGATATATTGGACATTATATCTAACCTGAAAAATACGAACTCAGTAGGGGTAGATTGCATTTCCACAAAAATCATCAAAAATATCAGAAACTTCATTTGCGAACCACTGGCATTTTTGATAAATTCTTCTATTGAAAAGGGGGAGTTCCCCAACAAACTAAAAGTTGGGTCAATAACACCAATTTAAAAAAAAGGTGAGTCAACATTAATTGAGAACTACTCCATGAGAACTACAGACCTGTAACAGTTCCTACAGTGTTATGTAAAATTTTTGAGAGATGTGTTTATCAGAAGATGCTAGCGTTTCTCGATCAATTCGATATCATATCTAAATTTCAACATGGATTCCGCCCAGGTAGGTCAACGGAAACTGCATTCTGCAGCTTTTTCAAGTATGTTTATGACTCACTTGACAAAAGACGATACGTTGGTGCACTTTTCTTTGATTTGTCGAAGGCATTTGACATCATCGACCCCGGTATTATTTGCAAAAAACTATATTCCCTTGGTTTTCGAGGTACTTTCAATTCGTGGCTTGAGTCGTATTTGACTTCTAGGAAAATACATGTGAAAGTTGATGAATGTCGATCACAGTCGTATGATATGGACTTAGGGGTTCCTCAGGGGTCTATATTGGGTCCCCTAATCTTTCTCCTTTTTATTAATGATATGCCAAATCATATAAGCACAGATTATATAGTTCTGTATGCTGATGATACTACGCTTGCCGCGGATGCCGCTACCCCAGAGGAACTTCAAGAAAAATTGAATTTGCTAAGTTTGGAGTTTACAAGCTGGTGTATAAAGAATTGTTTGGTAGTGAATTCGAGAAAAACAGTTTTGATGCAGTTCTACTCCAAAGCTACAAAAAAAATTGATAATTTCAACGTAAGAGTAGGCGATGAGACAATTGAATCATCAAATGAAGTGAAATTTCTAGGTACCTACATCGATAGTAACATGACCTGGGAGTCGACTATGAATCAAGTTACCAAGAAAGTAAACACTGGATATTATGCAATTAGACAGTTGAAGTCAACATTCAGTAAGGCCCAGCTCTTGAATGTATATTTTGCAATTGTATACTCCCATATTTCTTACAACATTGCTGTGTGGGGCTGTTGCACAAAACTAAATAGAATATTCATTTCTCAGAAAAGGGTTATACGATTGATATTTGGATTAAATAACAGAGAATCATGTAGACAATACTTTATTCGAAATAAAATCATGTGTGTTCCATGCATTTATATATACAAATGCATTTTATTATTCAAAACAAATATCCATGACTACAACCGAAATTGTGATTTTCATGCATACCCTACCAGGCATGGTGAACTGATAGGGCTCCAAAAACATTCAACTCGTCTCTATGAGAACTGTCCGTCATATGTGGGAGCAAAACTGTTCAATCATCTACCGGATGATATAAAAAACCGAAGTAGTCAAAATATT